ACACAGCCATATAATAATATAAAATAATATTAAATTAAAACAAAACTGACCTGACTATCATATCACTTGGCACTGTACCATCCACAAAGAACAAGTCAAAATGCTCTATTCCATGATCTGTGAATCTCCTTGCATCATAAAATTTCTTGTTGAGTCTAACGACTGAAGTTATGTTATGCTTTTTGAAGTACGGAATGTAGGCTTCTGGTGCATGCAAAGGATAACCTGTGAAAAAGGACAATGGGAAGTTTAAATTGACATGAAATATTGCAGTGAGCTATTTAACAGCATAGAAATGTAATAATTTCAAATCTTAAGATTGATGTTTGAGCCTAACCTACAGTGTATTTACAAGACAAGAAGTATTTCAAGAAGTATTTCAAGTTAACATAACTAGTCAGAGTACATGTACACTGTATGTACCATCTTGAAATTCATGTTGGCTACAGCTGTACATGACAAGTTTGGCACAGTAACTAAAAACACTAATTTAAAGTATATAAAGTAAATATAAATCTTACTCCTATCAAAAGTTGGCGTGCTTACCATTTTCAACTCTACTTTTATTATGAGGTCCACTGAATGCCAAGAATTTATCTGAAAAAAAGTCCAAGATTATTTAAATAAACTTTTTACAATCATGTAACTTCACTGTCAGCAACTTTATTTAACATATAAACATACATGTATACAAAGTGACTTTCTGAGACAGCCAAAATTAAAGTTAAAAAAGCAACAAGCAATGCGAGTTACACATTGGGACTTGTGTAATTGCAAGATTTCCTCAACCGCAGAGATAATTTTATAGACTGCACAGTCTGTACAGATGTGAATAAAAAATAAAATAATTTAGTTCTAACCTGGTAATAACCAGTTAAAATCCCCATTTTCAACTCTCTGCAAAAAAAAGAAGAAAAAAAAAAACCAGTTACAAGTAGTATGAAAATGCCTTCACTGGGATTTTCGTTTGTCATGTACACCTGAGTGGAAAGAGGCATGCATATAAACATGACTAGATACTGTCTTGTAGAGAGCAACAAGGTTTCCCAGGAGATACAGTGTACATGTAAGTTTTAAAGGCAAGGATTGAGTTAATAAGGAAGTCCAAATGGTCAATAACCATTTATCGCTGAAAGTATACTGCTGTAACATTTCTATAACTTCAGCGAGCTGACCTTGTTGGTTTCTTGACCTCAGACTCTTGTCTTACCTAGAGGACTGAGTCATATTAATTTTATTGTTTTGTCCAAGAACAAATCAAAACACAACCGCCAGGTTTTATTGGGTTATTGCTGCTGTGTTGTAGCCATACACAACCTTAAGCTAGAGTCGACATGCAAATTATATATTAACAAAAATTAGAAAGATTCTCACCTCATAATGTTCGTACTCTTCGACATCAAAAGTATCAAAGTTAAAAAATCCATTTTGCCATGCCTAAAATTTGACATGAATCACATGATAGTTACCAAATGAACATAATACATGTATATAGGACTCTTA